CAGCTGTCCAGTACAAAGGATACCACAAGGACGCTGGCTCAAGCCTCACCAGAATCCACTGCAGAGCTCCATACACTGTATGATACTGTTATGGACTGAATATTTGTGTCATTACAAAATTCATATGTTGAAATCTTAACTCCCGATGTGATGGCATTAGGAGGTAGAGTCTTTGGGAGGTGATTAGGTTAGGAGAGTGCAGCACTCATGAATGAGATCAGCAGTGCCCTTATTAAAGAGACTCCTGAGAGCTTTCTTGCTCTCTCTGCCATGTGAGGTCACAGCGAGAAGCCGGCTGCCTATGAACCAGGATGTTATCTATTAACCAGGCTCTCGCCAAACACTGGGTCTGCCACCAACTTGATTTTGGACCTCTCAGCCTTCAGACTGTGAGAAAGAAATTTTTGGTAATATAAGCAACCCAGTACATGGTATTTTCATTGCAGCAGCCTGAACAGACCGAGACAGAGACTATTCTCTGCTTGCAACAAGACGCCCAACAGTGCACCAAAAGGGGAATCGGAACATCACAGATGAGCACACCTTCCCAGCTATAGGGCTGAAGGGTTAAAGGGACTTGGCGAATTCTCCCTGTTTATGCCTGAGCTGTGACCTTCATTGAAAGAGTAAAATACAGTGCTGTCTCCCAGGGAGAACTGGCCCTCCTCCCCAAAAGTTTAGCACCTTTTGATCTTTAGCTGTTCCCTTGGGAGAACTGGCCCTTTGTCCAGAGGGAACAGTTAATCAAAATCACACATGGCCCTTGGCACAGCCATGTTTGTCTAAAACATATTTAAGCACAGCCCCCAAAGTGAGACTTTGGAATCCCACCCGAGGGAAGGACACTTTGCTCGGAACCGTTCCCAGAAGAACCTTGACCATTGCTGCCTCTTGGGATTCCCCAGCATCTGTGTTTGGGTGTAGGTGATTTCCTGTCTGGTGATACATACTCTTGATTCTTGCTTTTCTTTTTGCTCTTGCTGAATAAAGTGCTTAACTATCCACCTTTGGGTCTTCACTGTTTGTGAATCCGAACCTCTAAATTACATGGCCACAATCTCATACATACCCCTTAAGGGCACAAGTGCCTTTGTTGGGCTAAGTCATCAGCAGAAACTCTGGTTACTACTCCCTCCCGGCCAATTGCTATTCACTCACTCAGTCACTAACCCCCACCAGTCAGTTACTCAGTTCCGCCCTTGCATCCACAGTGGTGGTTTACTGCTAGTGCACAGACTTCGCACTATCAGGCATGATTTCTCTGGAGTTGGCTCACAATTCTGTGCTTCCAGGCGGTCACTGGAACAGATCTAATCCAGTGCCTTCTCCAAACCCATCTAGATACACTCAGTAGAACTATGAACTTAGTGGGTGGAGAAGCCAGGAAGCTTTGAAGCCTCTGCCCTTATACTCACTGCAGAGACACAAGAAACATACATGAAGCATGGCTGGAAAAATGCTACAAAGTATCAGTGACACCAAGCCTTAACATCTGGACACAATAAGGAATGGTGGGGGCTATGGTAAACAGGAGCTCAGGTCTCATCTTAAGTAGAAAGTTACTGTTCCCCTCTCTTCCACCACCAATGCCTACTATTTGGCCAACTGCTTTCACGGAGAAACACAGGTCCATTTGGTATGGGATGTCTGGAATGTCATGTGAAAATTTGACTTTTTGCACTTTGACCCATATGAAAACATCTCCCTCTTCCAAGGAACCTGCACTGGGGCTAAAAGGGTGGAGTGTCATCACTTTTAAGTTAACTTCCCACCGCAGTGAACTGTGTCTGGTCCCAGCCTCCCATTCTTTCAGTTCTTCTCTGAATGCGTATGTGTCTCCCACAGGGCCACCTATTATTACCTGTCTTGGGGTGGCCGGATTCTCTCCATAGCACCTTGACTTACCATCATTAGATATACTAGGCCAGCTAGGAAATACAATGCTTATCATTTTACCATTGAAAATTACCATTAACCTCTCTCAGAAAGACAGTCTCACCAATGAAAAAATGAAGGGAACCAGGCTTAGACAAGCATCAAATGACTGGAACGATGATGGAACAGCAACTTAAAAACTCTCAGCCTCCAGCCAGCTGCTCTGACTTGGCTGTGAGCACAGCCAGGCTGCGTGCAACCTGTTATTCTGTGGTCCTGTGACATTTCTCTTGTCATTGTCAAACTACTTGGTTCTAACAGGCTCTTACGCTGAGACAGGTTCATCATCTAGGAAGGATCTGACCATCGCTATAGAGGAAATACTTCCTGGCCGCAAAGACAGTTGGTTACAAGGCGCTTGAGCATCTTCTTAGTGTAAGACCTGATCTTTACTATCTGATTTTCTGCTTATTGTCTTACCTCTCACGGCAGCTTTCCACCCCCCATGCCTGCTCCCAACATACGTACATGCTGGAATGTAAACCCCAAAAGGCAGGGTCACCTAAATATCTTGTCCACTGTACTGTATCCTCCATGCCTAGAATAGTACCTGGCACATGGAAGGTGCATAATAAATATTGACTGAATATTGTGAACTGGTTAAGAGTCTTATTTGTGCAGGCTGGGCTCTTACTTCAAGGAGAGGGTGGGACTAGAGGCCTCACTGACATTTCTTCTACCCCACACAGAGATTCTGTGAGTCTGAACGTTGAGAATCCCACAGGCCCTTATAATCTGAGCCAGCAGCTGCTTTGCAGTGGGAGAAAATGAAGTTGCCAGGCAGATGGGGCAGAGGAGGGTGAGAAGATGGGTAAGCAAGGGACTCTCAGAAGATGAAGGGAGTTTGTGCTAATGGGTGATGATGACAGGCTAGGAGTGTGGAAGGGTGATGGCTGTGACGATGCGTTTTTCACCAGGACAAAGTGGGCAGTGACGCAGAGTGCAGGGAAGGGCAGCATTTGAGTCCCCGAAGGAGCAGTCAGCGCGACATGACATGGTTGCCCTGAGAAGAGAGGGCTCAACCAGAAGCCAGGGAAAATCTGGAGACGAAGAGCCTCCCAGAGGCAGCACCACGGCCGGGTCTCCAGGCCTGAAGGGCGTAGCAGACTTTCAAACCCCGGCTGAGGTCACAGGCAGAGACGACATGACTCTTTATTTTTAACAAAAGAGCTCTCACAGAGACCCCATCTCTCTTAATCACGGGCTCTCTCAGGACTGTGACAACTAGCTTTCTGCTTGCTCATGCTGCAGCTTCCTTGCTGCTGAGCAACCGCTGCTTGTCATCCTCAGCAGCCAAAACCGGCCTGAAGCCAGTCCAGTCACCTTTTCACTGGAGGACTGCAGAGTCCCTGTCTCAGTCCCTTTGGCCGCTACAGGGAGGCTATGCTACAGCCGGGCCACACGGACCCACCCGGGCAGAGCTCTGTGAATGCACAGGTTCAGCCCTGTCACAAACCACATTCAGTTGTGTCTTTATAAAATGATCTCTAAAAGAAACTTAAAGTGTTCCTTCTTCCCAGGAAAGAAAGCATGGAATTTTCTGGAATAAGAAACTCCTCAGAACCTAATCAATCTCTCTTCCTGTTAAAAAATTTTTTTGTCGTTGGGATTAAAGCACCAGAATTATACTTTTCTGCAACAATATTTCTAACTTTACTACATAAATTTATGTCTTTGTTATGGAGGTGATGGTGTAATTTTTAAAAATTCGGTCATAACTACATAACTGACTTAAGAGTAGATGTAAGTGATCCCTAGATCATTGAGCAAATGGAAAGAGGAAAACGAGTGTCCATTAGAACCTGTCAGCAACAGAGAGGGAGGGGCAAGGGTGTCTTAAAGGAGGTCAGAAAAGGGCAGGGGGTGGAAGAACAGGAAGGAAGGTGTCTGACCCCACTCTCAACTACTTTCAATTTGCTCTGTGAATAACTAGGTGGCAACCCCAAGCAAAGAATACTGGCATTTGTTTGCTTTTACATTATTTTAATGACCAGCAGGGGTAAATATAGTACTCTGACAACAGACAGAAAGAGCATTCTGCCTGGATGGTTAAGACCACAGCAACTGACACAGTTCCCGGATCTTCACAGTTCTTAGGCAAAGTCTCCCCAGGCCATTCCAGGTGTAATCTCACTCTGGTGGGTTGACAGAACCATGCAAGATGAACCAAGATGAACAATAAACAGGAAGAAGAATGTGAATAATAGGTCACTGTGATGGGGTACTCAAACACGGAGAACTTCCCCCTACCCACAGCTCTAAGACATGAACTGGGGGCTTGGTTTTCTCTCTCTCTCTCTCTCTCTCTCTCTCTCTCTCTCTGTATCTCTCTCTCTTACTGATGCGTTCATGCAAGGAACCCTCCTCTTTCAGACTCATCCATTTATGCAGCCCGGATGAAATGGAGCAGATCTCCAATCTGGTAAGAGTGGCTTCTTCCCTACATCCCCGAGAGGGAGATGAGGTAGAGATGGGCTCGAGTTTATTTTTTGAAAGCAGTTCTCTTGCGTCTGTGAAGAACTGCAATGGTACTCTCCTCCCAGACCCCCACGACCCTCCCCAGGGTCCCTTCCGGAGGAGGAAAGGATCTAGAAGCGCATTTCTTCCCCTCAGTGGATCCAGCCCCTTCTCTTCTGCCGCACGCAGCAGCTGGGGCCAGAGCGTCACCCGACGCCGGCGGGTGCAGCAAGGCTCCCAAGCTGCAGCCTCTCTGTCCCCACATGCCCTGGAGATTTAATTTTAATTAACCGTGAGAGCTATAGCACTGAGGATTGCATTTTTCAAAATAGCGCACAGTCCCGCCTTTTGTCTGTTTCCCTTCTGCCACCCAAGCCCAACAACCCTTTGGCATCGAAATTATAAGAACAAAAACTAACAAACAACAAAAATACGAACGAATAATCTCACCTACACGTGCCGGGGACACCGAGTGGCTGGGGACGCCCGCCGTCGCGGGGGAGGGTCTCTCGGAGGATGGGAGGCTGGAAAGCTGCCGTGGCGGGCGGGGCGGGGCCCCGGTGGTCACGTGGCCGCTCGGGCCCGCCCACGTCTGAGGTCCCCGTAACTCAGCACAGAGGTGGACCTGCCCAGAGTGCCCTCAGACGCCCAGTAGTCATGGGTGTTCCAGGCAAGAGCTGCCTGGTGCCCGGCTTGCTGCGGAATCAAGTGGCCATCGTCACCGGCGGGGGCACGGGCATCGGAAAGGCCATCGCGACCGAGCTGCTGCACCTGAGTACGTGAGCAGGTCTTGGGCGGGCGGACCCCGATTGTGGGTCCGGATTGTGGGTCCTGGCGGGTGGAAGAGGAGATACCTGCGGTGGAGACACCTACTTGTGTAACCTGGGACTGGGAGCCAGAACTGTAGGCTGGGCTGGGAAAGGGTGGAGTTGCAAAGCAAAGAGGGGTAGATGTGGGCGAAACATGAAAAGGTAAAATCGGCATTGATTTAAAAAAAAACAATGTAAGGACATTTTAAAAGTACAAGAAAAAACACCTTTACAGTACACAACAGGTGTATGATATGAAGAGCTCTCACAAATAAGGAAGGAAAATATGGAACACGCTGATAGAAAAATTGGCCTGTGATATGGACCAGGTGTACCAAAGGAAGAACCAGAAATAGGCAGTTGTAAGTAAATGAGAAAACATTCAGCTTCACTGGTAATAAAATGCATAATAAAACAATAATCAGATCCCATTGTTTTTCTAAAAAGATTTTAAAACATTGAAGAAGACGACAGTGTTGATGATGCATTGAGAAGGCTGGCAAGATGCAAATTATTACAAGCTTCCTAGAGGACAATTTGAAAAAAAGAATCCTAAAGTTTTAACAATATTCATGCTCCCTTCCATGACCTAGTAAGTTCTCTTTCAGGAGTTTAAGGAAATAGTCAGAGACAAGGACAGATTTATATACAAAGATATGTATATGCAGTGTTGAGCAGGGAAACACTGCAAAAAAACCTACATATTCAGGCTGGGGTCCAGCCTTGGCAGGGTTCAGTGTCTCCGAAGGATGGACAGTGCAGGTGATGAATGAAGAGTCAGACACCCGATTGGATACTGGAAAACAGCCAGCCTCTGTGGGTCTGGCTGAACTCTCAGAGTTTGATTTAGGCTTTATTTTTATAGAGATTGTTATATAACATTAAAGGAACAGGTGCATGGCGTGATCAGTTAAGCAGAAAAATCCAATACAGAGGTAACCAGGAAAGGTACAAGAATTTCCATACTTTCAGTTATGTTAAACGATTAAGGTTGTTTTGACTAGGAGACCCATTAATCAGACAATTTGAAATAGCTGTATGTACAGAGTTTAAATGTCTTATTGTTTATTAAAGTTCTTAGAATTTGGCATGGGCCAAAAGGGGACACTAGACTGAGTAGAGGTTATATAGGAAATTTATTATAAGGCCTTTTTGATGTCTAACTTAGCTATCTTTCTGTCTAAAATGTGTCTTTATGTAATATTGACTCTGTCTCTTTGGTAATAGTTTCTACGTGCTTGGTTTGTAATAGCTAACTAGCTTCTCCTGTTTCTTAGTCTGTCTAATTCTAATTAATATATATTCCTGTCCAAGGTAGAGGAGGGGCTGTTACTCCATCAACTTTTAGATATTCAGGGGTTACTTCATTAAAGGGGGACTTTGTTCTCTGGCCAAGAAATTATTTTATATAACTTCATTGGAATTATGCGGATCATTGGACCTGAAATGCAGGTGTTTAAAAAAATCTCACCACCTATTAATTGGAAAGACAAACATGCAAGGGAGAGATAGACAGGAAATCCAACCACAGTTGCCTCTGTTGTGCAAATGCATCTCATCCGTCCTGACTGTGTCAAGGGACGGCTGTTGGTCAGCTTCTGACCTATTCATTATACAGGAAATAGTTAAATCAATAACAATGGACTATTATGTTGCTATTGAAGACTTTCTGTAGAGAAATGCATTCCTTATAATTGAAAAAAGCAGGATTCTAAACAAAATGTAGCTTTCCAGTTCACTCGTTGAAAAATGAAAAATACAGTATCTATGCAGAAAAAGACTGAAAGGAAGTTTATAGCATTGTTAACAACTAACTTTTATGGAAATAATCTGAATTATCAGGGTTAAACTGTCTTCATTTTGAACATGGTTTATGAACATGTAAACTACCTTTGCTTACCATTGTGTTTCTAATGCCTCTCACATAGTATGAACCGAAACAGGAAACTAAAAAATGAAAATACTCTCAATGTAAGAAACTTTCAAAACTGTGGAGAATGTTTCTGAGTTTATTTGCACCAAATTGATGATAATTTGCCAGGAAGCAAAACTTCAGTGGGTTGAGAGAATGCTCTGAAGAACGGCAGTTTTGCACCTATTTTATACATTATAATCAGTGGAGACATAAGGAGGTTAAATGAAATCCATTGGTGATAGACTAGGGAGGCAAGGAGAAAGCAAAGCAGGAAAATCTCTGGGATTAGATAAAAAATAAAATGGAGAGACACCTACTTCTTTTGCATTGGTGGATATCCATACCATAGTTAACAATGAACATTTACAGTATGTGGAGATGTTATGTGGGGGAACAAGATAACAGTGAGGAGCTCTGGTGGTCTCTAGTGTGGTAATGATGAACTCCTATAGCTCTTTTCTGTCTGGAAAGCTTTTTATCTGTCTTTCAATTCTAAATGATAGCTTTACAGGGTAGAGTAATCTGGTTGTAGGTCCTGGCTTTTCATCACTTTGAATATATCATGCCAGTCCCTTCTAGCCTGCAAAGTTTCTATTGAAAAATCAACTGACAGTCTTATGGGAGCTACCTTGTAGGTTACTAATGCTTTTCTCTTGCTGCTTTTAAAATTCTCTCTGTCTTTAACCTTTGCCATTTTAATTATGATGTATCTTGGTGTGTTCCTCTTTGGGTGCATCTTGTTTGGGACTCTGTGCTTCCTGGGCTTGTATGTCTACTTTCTTCACCAAGTAAGGGAAGTTTTCTGTCATTATTTTTTCAAATAGGCTTTCAATTTTGTTTTCTCTCTCTTCCCTTTCCAGCACCCCCATGATATGAATGTTGATATGCTTGAAGTTGTCCCAGAGGCTTCTCACATTACCCTTATTGTTTTTTGGATTCTTTTTTTTTCTTGTTCTGATTGAGTGTTTTTTGCTTCCGTATATTCCAAATCGCTGATTTGATTCTCATTTTCACCCACTCTACTGTTGATTCCCTATAAATTTTCTTCATTTCAGTTAGTGTATTCTTCATTTCCAACAGGTTCTTTTTTATGGTTTCCATGCCCTTTTTTATGCTGCTGAAATTCTCACTAAGTTCACTGGCATCCTTATAACCAGTGTTTTCAACTCTGCATCTAGTACATTGCTTGTCTCCATTTTGTTTATTTCTTTCTGTGGAGTTTTGTTCTATTCTTTCATTTGGGCCATGTTTTCTTTATCTCTTCATCTTGGCAACTTCTCTGTTTTTGTTTGTATGGATTAGGTAGAACTGCTATGACTCCCTGGCTTAGAAGAGTGGCCTGATGTAGTAAGTGTCTTGTAGGGTCCAGTGGCATGGCCTTTCCTATCACTTAGGCTGGGCACTTGAGGTTTCTTTCCCCCACCATGTGGGCTGAGTACACCCTCCTCTTTTAGTTAAGCCTTGATTGCTGTTGACAGGTCAATTGGAGGGATTTACCCAGGCTGATCAGTTGCAAGGACTTGCTGTGACCACTGACCACCAACCTCTGACCACTGAGGAGGATCAGCTGTGCAGGGGTCCACTCCACAGAGCAGGACTGACTTCAGCAAGGGTCTGGTGCCCACTGAGTCCTCCCCTTGAGAGTGTTGCTGGTGGAGATGGTTGGGTGGTGGTGCTCCTAGGTGTTCTGTAGCTGTCCACTAGGTGCACGGGCTTTGGGAACTCCTGAGGGCTGCTGGCCAAGGTGAGCTGTGACCTGTATTCTGACTGGGGCCACCTAGCATAAGCTGTAAAGCAATCTGCAGTTATCTGCTACTTGTGCTTAGATTAGAGATACCCAAGCAAGTCCTAGCTTGGCATCAAGCTAGGCTGAACCAAGGCCAGCTGCTGCTAGTGCCAGGCCTGGGGCCACTTAGCAATAGGCAGGAGGCGTGCCAAGATCAGATGCTGTTGTTTGAGAGAATTTAGGAGAATCTGAGGCATGAGCCAAGACAAGCCATTTGGAAACAATATACAAATAATTTTCACAATGACTTTCTTTAATTTTTTTATGCTAGAATTAATGGCTACTTCCTGAAAATTACTATAAGCCCTAATTGGGCAAATACATTGTTAGCCAATTCTGTTTCTAATGAGAAGGCTACTATTTTTTTGATATGAATTATAAGTTGAACTTTTAGGACTTCTGGCCAAGATGGAGGTGTAGGTAGATACACTATGCCTCCTCTATAACGAAAAGAAGGATAACAACAAATTTAAAAACAAAAAAAATCAGAACTTATAGAAAATCGAACTGTATGGAAGTCTGACAACGAAGTAGTTAAAGAAGAAACATTCGTCCAGACCAGTAGGAGGGGTGAAGACGGGCAGCTGGGGTGGAGAGGACTGGCCACAAGGCAGTGGCTGGCAGAACTGGAGGGGTGGCAGCTGGCAGAGCAGGTACTCCCACATTTGAGTGCTGATAAACTGGGAGGAACAACTGGGTAGTGAGACAGATTGCACAACCCAGGGTCCCAGCCTGGGGAAATAAATTCTTAAAACCTCTGACTGAAAAAAACCAGTGGAGGTTGAGGGGGCAGGAAAAACTCCTGGTATCACCAGAGAATTTGTAGGACAGACCCACAGGGTCTTAGAATGTACACAAATCCACCTACCCAGGAATCAGCACCAGAAGGGCCCAATTTGATTGTGGGTAGTGGGGGAAGTGACTGAAAACTGGCAGAGAGTGGAGCAAGCAGCACTGTTCGCTCTCCAACCCCTCCCCCACATACAGGTATTTGCCCTACCCTGGTGAAATTCTAAGGCTCCACCCCTTACTATGTAACAGGCGCACTAAGACAAAAAATTGGCCCAAATGAAAGAACAGATCAAAGCTCCAGAAAAAATACAGTAAGCAATGAATAGATAGTCAATGTATCAGATGCACAGTTCACAACACTGGTAATCAGGATGCTCACAGAATTAGTTGAATGTGGTTGCAAAATAGAGGGAAACGTGAAGGCTATGAAAAGTGAAATAAAGGAAAATGTACAGGGAACCAACAGTGACAGG